TCTCTCTCTCTCTCTCTCTCTCTCTCTCTCTCTCTCTCTCTCTCTCTCTCTCTCTCTCTCTCTCTCTCTCGCACGCACGCAGGCACGCACACAGACTTGATCACCCCCGCAGTCATACACACTTTCAACATTTCAAACAGCAGTGCAAAGACACCGTGTGATCCCTGCGCTGTTGTTCTGTTCCAGTCACTTTAATTGGGGATTTGGGCCAGGCTCTTGTCTTTCTCACTGTGATGTGGTAAAAATAGCTCCCCAACAAGTGTCAGAAAACCTAGTCAGACTCATACTGAGGCAGAGCTTCTTGGCACAAACTCTTATGCTTAGGGCAGAAAAAAGTCAGAAACAAAAAAAGTGTCATTATGAAGCCCATGTGAATCATGTTTCTTTTAGTTCACCTGTTGCAAAGGGAGTTTTTGCCTTGAGACTACATCTTTTCTAACTGCATGCTTGAATACTTGTCACTGATCATTACATTTTGTTGCAAGCCAAAAGGGAAAATTAAGTACCGAAAAATAGCCTAAAACTATGGATATCTTGAAAAAAAAACATGCTCTGAGAGTATTTTACTCTGAAAATTAATGAGGCTCAATGCAGGCAAGAGGAAGAGGTTGAATTACTATATAATTAATGTCTTGTACTTGCTTCAGGCACTATTACAGCCGATAGTATGAGTTGCTACAGCACAAAGATGAGAGGCAAAACATTTTTTGGACCCAAGGTCTTCTCCCAGAGGGACATGAACAGAAACCCTGTAAAATGATGCTGCACCTGTACCATCCCTGCTGACTCATGATGCTCAACTTTAAGCTCCTCCTACACTAGATAAGGAAGCTCTTCATCTTGCTTTTAAGGTTGAGCCTAGCCACTTAACAGGGGGAAGCTCATATTATTTACTTGTACCAAAGATCTCCATCCTTTGGTCAGGATCCGAACCTCTTGATCTTAGATGAAATTTGGATCAGGAAGCTGAGATTTATCTTCACCACAACGGACTGGAGCAACGTCCGCAATACTGTGGACAAGGCTCTGATTAGTTAGGTCATCTACCCAACAAACGTGAACAAGATAATTTGTGACTCATCCACAATCTGGAGAGAGTTTGCCGCCATTTTTTTTGGTTGAGAATTATTATCACAACTTATCAATATCATACCGTTTTTATGCTGAACTCTTACACAACATCAGTAACAGCTTGTTTAAAACTGAACCATGAATAAAAAAAGAACAAAGAGACTCTGTGTAATAGAAACTACACATAATTAACACCGTAATGTGACACTAATGGGACAACACTCCAAGCAGGGCGACAAATAAATGCAAAAATTACAAATGCATTTCATCCCTCGCGTTCTAATTTGACTGATGGGGTCAGTCCCAGCTGTGACTCTTGTGTTGTGACCTTTGTGTGGACTGTAGCTTTATAATGTCTACAGAACATGTGAGGGGGGGGGGGTGATCCTGGTCTGTGATTGGCTGAAAGTGCTCAGCAACTGACAGCCATAGATATCACACCTGTCAGGCTCTGTCTCAGAAAAAATAGCTTTGGAAATGTTTGGGCTGGTCCATTTGAATGACAAAACTTTCCTATGTAATCATAACAAAGTTAATAAATGGTTTAAAATATGTTGTTATGCAATAATAAAGTTATTTAATTTTATGAAATCTAGAAAAGTTCCATCGATAATCTCATTGAAGTAAAATATTTATGATTTATATTATAGTTAATTTTAGTTTAGCTAAAGACAAAGAATGAACACTGACCAGCTGTAGCTTCATTTCAACAAAATAAAAAAGGACTTATATGAAAATCTTTTGAGTTTGCCAGCATTTTGATTTATCAGCCAGACACCAGGGCTGTGAGTTAAAAAAAAAAAAAACAAGTCTTGGCTTGTGAGTCAGCACTCTCACCCTGTTAGTATAAATGTGTTTGCATGAAGAACAAGGCTGAGATAAAGGCTGTGCTGCTCTGGGACTGTTGGGAAGTCTGCTGCCTTCACTTTCTGAAAGGGCTCTGATGTTGAGGAGTAAGAAACTGCAGCTCCACGTTAGACTCAGTTTGGTATGTAGTATACCTAAAGATTTCTGATTGTTTTTATTTATTTATTTATTTATTTGTTTGTTTGTTTGTTTGTTTTGTTGTCTCTAAGATTTTGCTGATTTGTCCTAACAAGAGAAATTGCTTCCTGAGTGAAAAATCATCTTTTTAGTTTTTGAGATTCTAATGCAGTTGTGGGACAATCTGTCACTTTATGAATTAGATTTATTTCTCAAAGCTTTGTTGCTGCAGTGTAGCGGTCATTGTTGGCTGGGAAATGAATAATTTGCATCACTTTGTGTCTTTTTTTAGTCAACTGGTGAAGCCAGACAGCAGGGGAATAATGTAATTATGAAATGTTTCACCATGCAGTGCTCAGCGAGTTGCTTTCTGGACTCTGTTCTTTTCACTGTTTGCAGGTTTCTTTTATTCCTCACTTGGTCGTTTCACCATTTTCAGCTTCAGGTTTTGAGTTTAGCTTCTGTACATTTTCTCTACTTATTGTTTCTGTATTCAGTTTGTATTGCTTTAAATGTACTGTAACTCAAGTGTGCATGAAGTCTGTGTAAAGATAAACATTGGTGATTCCATAACGTGTCTCAGTTTGAAATAAATCTGCTTTTGCTCAGTTTCTGTCATGATTCAGATCAGATTATTTGTTGTTGTACATTTTCTGTTAGGAAAGGCATTTTACAAGAAAATAAAATAAAGGCTCTTAAGCATTTTCATCAAGACATTTGTTTTAATGACAGCTAACCAGTTTTAGTTACCTTGGTTGGTTGGTTTGATTTGGTGCGTCAGTTTATTTAATCCTAACTAGACTAAGAGCCAACCACAGGTTCAAAAGGTTTTTCTGTTTTTAATTTAGGCTCTGATTTGATATCAGCTATTGTTGTGCCTGCTGCTGCAAAATGATTCATTTGTTGAAGTAAAACATGGAGCTTAGAGTTACGTTTCCATCAATGTTTATTCCCAATTGTCCTGCTTTTCCACGAAGAATGTCGAGCTAATGAGATGGGCAATGTTTATACTTCCTATGTCTATTCTAAGAGAAGCTGCTGCCTATGAACTGTTACTCACTCAGTTCGTTATGTTAAGACTTGTTTTTCTGTTTCTAGGTTCCTCTCAGGCCCCTCTGACAGGCATGTCACTGACAGGAAAACATCCCTACAGAGGACCGAACTTAAGTTTGACTTCAAAATAATTGCCACTGGTTATGAAAATCTGCACTCCAATACTGAAAAGGTTTGTTTTAACACATATTATTGGATTTAAGTTCAATTCAAAAACCTCTGAAGCACGACTTCACATTTGGTTCAACATTCAACCTTAAAGTATTTAAGGTCTAACTGTGGATTTTCTGTCTTTTTTCAGGCAGGGAGAAAGATGTTTGTGGAGTCAGTTGTCCGATGGGGTGCGTGGAGCATCCTGCTTCAGTTTGGACTTGATGTATCAGCAGGAGGTTGTCCTCCACGCTGTGTGTGCCGGTCTGAAGCCAGAGCAGTGGTCTGCTCAGGAAAGTATTTGAACTCTGTGCCGGAGGGCTTTTCAAACGATGCCAGGCGTTTGGATTTATCCCGCAATAGGATTAAGACTGTGGGACGCCGTCAGTTCTCTGGCCTTGTGCAACTTCAAGAGTTGAACCTCAGTGATAATTTAATCTCCATGATTGAAGTAGAGGCTTTCTCAGGCCTTAAGAATCTCAGGACACTTCAAATTAAGAATAACCGCCTGAAGATCCTGCCAGTTGGAGTGTTTTCTGGTCTGTCCAGTCTGCGCTTTTTGGACTTGAGCCAGAACGAGATTCTGGTCTTCCTGGACTACACCTTCAAGGAAATGGTCAACCTGCAAACCCTGGAAGCTGAGGAGAACGACCTTGTCTTCATCTCCCAACGAGCTTTCTTTGGGCTGCAGAACCTGCAAGAACTTTGCTTAGACCGAAGCAACCTGACATCCATTCCCACAGAAGCTTTGTCCCAGCTCCAGAGCCTGACAGAACTCCGAATGCTCCGCCTCACTATTTCCACAATACCCAACAATGCTTTCAGACAACTCCAACGTTTGCAGAGCCTTGTGATCTCTAACTGGCCTGCATTGGATGATTTGGCTAGTAACAGTCTAATTGGTCTTAATTTAAGCTCACTTGTTATCAGTAGCTGTAATTTAAGTGCAGTTCCTTACGCAGCACTTCGTCACCTGGTGTATCTGCGCTTCCTGGACTTGTCCTACAACCCCATCACAGCTATCCAAGGTAACCTGCTAGGGGATCTTCTGAGACTGCAGGAGTTACACCTGGCAGGAGCAAGTTTGACAAAAATAGAGCCAGGAGCCTTCAGGGGTCTGTCGTTTTTCCGCATGCTAAATGTGACATCGAATCAGCTCACCACTTTAGAGGAGAGTGTTTTCCACTCTGTGGGAAACCTTCAGGTGCTGCGTTTGGATGGGAATCCCCTTGCGTGTGACTGCAGACTTCTGTGGGTGGTCCGTCGCAGGTTGCGGTTGAATTTTGACGGACACCAGCCCACTTGTTCCTCTCCCGACGCGGTGAGACAGCGTGAATTCCGAGACTTCTCAGAGAAGGAGCTCTCCAGGGTTTTTACCTGCCGTCCCGCTCGTATCATGGACCGCAGGCCGCAGGAGGCCAGAGTGGAAGAGGGTACCACCGTTCTGTTTTCCTGCAAGGCTGACGGGGAGCCATTCCCAACCATCACTTGGATTTCATCACACAAGAACATCGTCCCTCCATCGGGAAGAATCAGAGTTTTGCCGAACGGGACTCTAGAAGTGCGATTTGCACAAGTTCAGGACAGCGGCACATATCAGTGCCTGGCAGGCAATGCAGCTGGCAATGACAGCCTGACTGTTGGTCTGTACGTGAAGGGGGTCCCACGGAACAAATCCATCTCTTTCTTCATGGATGAGGGCTGGACGGAGCCTTCTAACCCCCAAGCTGCCAACGCCTCAGCTCAAATTACCAAGCCATTCCCATTTGATTTAAAGACCCTAATCATTGCCACCACCATGGGCTTTCTGTCCTTCCTCAGCTCAGTGGCCATCTGCTTTGTCTTCATGTTTTTCTGGAGTCAGAGCAAAGGTCAGATCAAGCACACAGCGACAATTGACTTTGTTCCTCGGTCTTCTATGGGTGGAGGAGATGGAGGAGAAGGTGGCAGGTTTACAATGAAACTTATTTGAAGCGACGTAGGGTGTTGCTTGGAGTTTGCCCATTGATCATGAGCGATCCTGCACCCTGATCTCCCACTGAGGATTTAAGAGACAAAGACCTACAACGAAAGGCCCAATCAAGAAAGGCAACTAAAGCCTTTTTTTACTGAGCTTCTGCCAGGCCTCTTTTATTTTTTAAGTTGAAAATGACATCAGGGTTGCCCCTTGGTTTGAGCAACATCAGTAAACATTGTCTGAACCTTGAACAGATTGTAGACAGTGCTCTCGTATGATTGCTGTGCATTTGTTTTTATTTCTACTTTAATAGTCAAAGACTTACTCTACTCACTTAGCATGACGTTTGTCCACAAGTGTGGGTAGTAATTTATGAAAACTAATAATCACAAATTTATAGCTTTAAACGCACCAAGGCTAGTTTAAGTGTTCCTATTGCACAAACATACCAAGGCTGGTCTTTGTTGACAGATAACACCATGTCCCTTTTACACTAATTGGTCATTAAGAGTTGTTCCATAAGCATTGAAGCTCCAGAACACTATTTTGTTAAATATGTTTGTCCATGTTTTGTTACACAGCTTTGATATAAAACTAATTAAATATGAGCCACGGCATTCAATCAGGAAAAATGTGTTACAACTTTTGGTAATGGTATGTTGCATTTAAACAAAATAATAAAAAGAACTGTGAGAAGAAATAGGAACATTTGTGGGATTTGTGCAAACATGTGAGAAAGCCCAGCCTTCTTTAAAGCTCTAAAGCTCAGGTATACTTTACAATCAAAACATCATTTGAAGTTAAAACAGGTCACAAAATGTTGGAATTTACAGGACTAAAATAGCATTTTTTTACATTTTATTTATTTATTTTTTTACAGTTTGGTTTTAATGATTCTTACAGATGGTTTTAACAAAAAAATTAACTGATATTTGATGTCTCACACCAGCTTCTTTCTTTTTCCTTTCTTTTTTCTTTTCTTTTCTTTTCTTTTCTTTTCTTTTCTTTTCTTTCCTTTCTTTTCCTTTTCTTTTTCCCAAAACCTATTTATTTTTGGTACATATATGATGTACAAAACAAAATGTGGGTATTTCTCTCTTCATTCAAAATCTTTTAAGACTTTTTTTTTCAAAACCCCATAAGAACACAGAGATCACACGCCCTCAATTACGATGATTTCAGTTATATTTCGTCTTAAAACAATCATTACAAAACTAAATGTTATGTGTCTTTTTTAGCTTGTCCTATCTCTCACTGTAGAAACAAAACAAAACCATGTTTGACCATCAGTCTTCCACACATTGTTCAAAACAAAGTTTCCTCACACTGACCGTTTGTGTGAGGCTTACGTTTTGGTCTGTTTTTATACCTGTCTTATTAGGAGTGCTGGTAGTGACAGACACATGTACATGGTTACCATGACAACTATGTAACTGAACACATCTTTTTTATTTTTGGATTATAATTTTTGAAATTATGATTGAAACATCATTTTTTCATCTGTAGACTTATTACAGCTTCATGCCGGGTTTAATTATCAGCTGAATTGGTACTCTTAAACCAACTATTCTGAAATCTTCTTGGTGGTTTTAATCATTTGACTTGTACATATGTGATGCTAAAGCTTTTGACTTGAATGTGTGGAATAGACTAGCCAAATAAAAGCTCACTTTTAACCAATTTTTTTGTAATTATAAAGCTTTACTATATATTAGGATGTTGCTGTGCTGGAAACAAGTGTTCAGTTGTGGATAGGACTTGTGTTAAATAATGACGTGATTGGCAGGTGGCCATCATGTACATAGGAATGCATCCTTTTATTGTTTCGTATTTTAAACACTTTTTTTAGGCCTGCTTGTCCTTTTGTTACACAAATAAAGCAACATTAGATTAATCTTTATCAAAGCATGCTATGATTTTACATTTTATACTAAAGAAACCTTTTTTATACTTTTCCCACCTAAACCACTGAAAAATATGTGCCTCAGAAACATTCTCATCATTGACAGAGAATGCTCACCTGATCAGTATTACCTTGTAAATATTTCGGTCATGTTCACTGTATAGTTTTATCTACTTCTGGTGGAATATGTGGTCTTCAAATTTGCCACACTTGTCAGAAGAGGAGGTTCTGAATGAGGAACTTGTTCACTGAAATATGTTGATTTGCTGTAAATGATCTTTTTTCAGTCTGTCAATAAATGCCTACCTGAACCTTCTGACTGTGTCTTTTACTATGTGAATTGTTTCTGAATGTTTTAAAATCAACGAGATTAGCAAATATAGAACAACACATTTCTCGTCAGAAACACCTCAGTTGTTGAGAAAGAGGTAATTTCATTCAAAAAGAAAAAAAAAACATATTTCCGTTTTAGATAATGAGACAAGCTGTGCTGTATTTTTTGTAAAACAACAAAACACAGCTGGTGGCCAGCCAGGGAAGCATACATCTGTCTCTTTTTTTTGTGAAAGAGAAGGATTACGTGTGCTGAGTAATGCTGCGGTGACTGCCTGTTTTCTCCTACTTGAGCTCCGAGTGAAGAACAATTAATCTTTTAGTGACATTTAAAGGCATTTCTGCCCCTTTTAATAGCAACGTCATCAATGCTGAATTTCAAACTGAAAACATTCAATTTTGCCTCAGAGTTTGAAATGAAACGCTAAGCGAGGCGTTGCCCCCGTTTCGCCTCAGCATGGTTAAGAATCTTAAAAGTGCTTTTAGTGAATTCACTGAACAGCAAATAATTCAGCTTCTCCTGCAGTCGCCCAGAATAACCCAGAAAATGAGGAGGGTGGGGGACTGGTGATCACGTGTATGAGCGGAGAATTAAACCCTTTTGGATTACCTCTGCTTGTCTCAATCTGTTATGTAGGTCTGTCTGGCGGGTGCTTTCCTCTGGCCCAGCTCGGCCTCTTATTTTATCTATTTTAATACAACTGCTTGCTCCCATTGGACAGAAAGCCAAAGGAGCAGATTAAAATGGTGTTTAGAATGCCCCCCCCACCCCCTTTAACTGACATACAGTATACACGCCACTGAGAATATTATGATTGTTTATTTGGTTTTTTTTTTTTTTTTTTGCATCTGCTGGCAGTTTAATAGCCTCTCTGTGTTTAGGTGCTGGAGAAAGTTTCCAATCTAACCACTAAAAAAAAGAGCTGAATCTGCAACAGGTCTGGATATAGAAACCCTAAACAGAGTTTCAAGTAAATGTGTATCTAAAAAAACATGTTTATTAGCTTTGAATGTTGATTTTTTTTCTGTAAATTGTTAAAGCTTCTAAATTAATACAAATTTTCAGTAAAAAAAAGAGATTTCTAAACAAAACTTTAATAAATATGTGTAGTACGATAATGATACTGAAAATATTATTTTCAGTTCTGTCACTGTTACACTGCAGATACTCTACCCTGCAGAACACATTGAATAAAACCTGCAAGCTATGCTGAAACTCCAGTTAAAAAAGTCATTAGATTCAACTAGGAAGGCTAATTTACCTTAATCCACTTTGTGTTTTGTAACCAAAATGCAGCAAAGCCTGAAGACCGACTCACTTTAGATTAAAGTGGAGCTATTTAAGCTAATTAGAGTTATCACGGTGCTTTCCTTAAGCCATACTCATGGCTGTGCACACATACTCTCCTTGATGATTTCATCTTATCCGTTTCCTTTTTACGACATTATTTCTGTAGTGTGCAGTTTTTTAGATCAGAAAGTTATGTTTAATTTAAATTCAGACTCTAAATTAGGTGTCACGTGTAGCTGCTTAACTTGTGTTTTTAATCTTTTGGGTTTGTCATTGGTGAGTTTTTGTCAAATGTGAAAAGAGGCCAGATTTGGCCTAAAATCAGGATTGTGGTTGTGAGAAAATCACTGAAGTTGATAAAAACAGAATGAAACTCACAATTTAAGCATGCAATATATATGAAAATAGATTCATTATATATATATATATATATATATATATATATATATATATGTTTCAGCACTAGTAATTTGGAAAGTTAGTCAGTGCACTGATCTGTAAGGAACATTTTTTAATATCAATGATTGAAGAAGCAAGGATCAGATAGAAAATAAATAAACTAAGACTAAAAAGTCTGCTTCTGTTGCCATCTAGTGGTTAAGATTCTTCACCAAATCGTCATCCAGATGGACCAGAATAAAATAAGATATCCAGCATTGAGCATACATCTTAGTCGTGTCTGGGATGAACAGAAAAAAAAGGTCCTTGTGAATTGTGCCCATATGTGAGAAAGTGAGGCGTCACACTTTTCTGCCTGAGCTCAAACGTCTTGATTTAAAGAGGCAACATGGAGAGACAATTACAGACTTTGAATGCGGTTAAAAATTGTAATTTTACCCCTGAGTGGGTGTGATACCACCTGATTGTTTCTTCCAAGGATCCACCTGAGTGTCTCTCACTCCTTTCTGTTCAGAGGTGAAACAAGATCACTTCTCTTGTGTTTTTCTGTCTAATCTTCTGCTGATTTCTCATTCAGAGAGCCAAAGTGCTCATGGGAAGTTCTCATAAGTGCTTGGATGATTTTTTTTCTTCTTTCCTTTGAGCAGCCCATAAGAGATCCGTTTTATTAAATTGGGAGCATCTGTTTTGTTGCCTTCACTTTACAGGCATTCATCATTTTGGAGTTGTTCACTTTTTCCAAATTTGAGACAATTATCCTCACAAATGCAAGCACAGCAGAGACAAGCTGCTGCTCCATTTCTGCTCAAACACTTATTGACACATATTGATTGAACATTACAGTGTGTGTGTGTGTGTGTGTGTGTGTGTGTGTGTGTGTGTGTGTGTGTGTGTGTGTGNGTGTGTGTGTGTGTGGGTGGGTGGGGGGCTCTTGCTGAAGCATGATCAAAAGGTGTGAGAGAGCTTCTGAACATGTAAAAAATCACAAATTAAAGATAAGGCTCCTTATGCACAAGGGCATTCTGATATAAATCCAGCAGAAAATACCAAATATTTTAAATAAATATATCCAAAATGTAATGATCATTTTACACAAGAAGGATACATGTACTGACGTTAATGTGTACAATGAGATCCCGAATCAGACACAGGAAACCGGCCCAGTATTTAGACAGAATGTTTATTTGCAGATGTATAAAGTTGATCACATGACAGCGCTGTGATTCATTCACTTATAGCCTCTGTCTGACTGAAGACCTGAGCAAAGTGGCCGTGTTTTTTGTTCACCCCAGATAAGACGTCAGAGTAAACAAGGATCTAGAAATAAACAGTAAAATTATAGAGAAAAATAAATGATTACAATCAATAGAATAAGCGTGTATCTGAATTAAAATATCTTACAGTACTCATTGCAATGTCAAATATAAAATCTGCACATTTTATTTTTCATATTGACATTTTACATTGATCTTTCCTTGAATTTAATAATTGCAACTAACATTTGTGGACATCTTTCATCAACAAGACTGAAGAAAAGGTTAAAAAATGCCAATGTCCATGGATGAGTTGTTTTGTAAAGTATGCCAAAAATGTTTTGTTTACATTAAGTACATGCCCTCATTTCAAAATATATCCGGGAAACATGAAGTAAACATTTGATGTAGTTTAAGGTGACTTATTTTATTTTTGATTTCTTACTTTGTTTTGGCCGCTTTTAAAACAGAACACGAGGACCCTTTAAAGGTTTTGTCAGGTGTGACCTAAACAGGTAAAATTCCCTTTAACTGCAACAGGTATGACGTGTGATGCTCCACATGTCAGTATTTTCAGACCAAACCGACGCGTTTCAGTCACTTCCACAGCTCCGTGTTTGAAGCTCCACTCCCCGTCTTTTTTTTTTCTTTTTGTTTCCGAGGTGGAGTCTCTGATCCCCCCGACTTTACCCTCCACAGCAGCCGGTGGAGCAGACGGAGGAGACAGGACCACGGTCGCGGCTGGCACAGATCTGGGACGCAGCAGATCCGACAAGGAGCATCTAGAGACCAAATCAAGGAGCAGGAGAACCAGGAGCAGCGCTTCCACTTGATCCAAACCCAAGAGCTAACGGAGCAGCGAGGAGAAGGATGAATTCTTTGATCCTGCTGTCGCTTTTTGCCACGGTTATCACCGGAAAGTCACCTCGACTCAAATTTGTCGTGCACGGTAAGAGCCACGGTGATTATGAATCAGTCTGGACGCGTTTGTCTGAGTTATTCAGCCGATTAATTGCTTATTCAGCCTGTGTTAGAAGTGATGTATGAACGGATGAATGGTTGAAGGGATGGAGAGGTGAGTGAATGAATGAGGCGATGCGCTCTGTTCTTTTCCAGTTCGCCTCATTCAGACAACTGTTGTTCCAATTTCTTAAGAGGAGGGAAAATAAATCCCACCAGCAGCTGTAATGATCGAATAATTCCACAAACACGCCCTGTTTAATTTCATTGTCGTGGTTGTCATCCAGGTCCCGCAAACACGTTCAAATCATCCTGTTTTTCGAGGAGAAAAAATGTTTTATTTAGTCTTAACAACAGACTTTTCTAGACATTTTTTTCTGCACGCACTGACATTCATTTTATTCTGGTTTCTGTTTGTGTCCCTCAAATTTGTGCAACTTGTGGCTTTTCTCTGCTTTTCTTCTCGCCAACCTGAGTGCTTTGTTCTAATAAATCCACTAGAAGTTCACTTTTTCATGCAGATCACATAATTAGTTTATCCTTGTAGTGCGCTTTTCCGTGCGCACAGGCGGGAATAGAAGCCAAATAATAATAATAAAAAAAATCTAATTAAAAATCCTCTTTCTGTTCCGGGGGGATAGCATGGTGCCTTTTTTTTTCTTTTGTTGCCCCTCTCCCAGAAAGGTTGTGTTTTTCTACACAAAGCAGAGACGGTCATCAGTGAAAAGCGTCATTATTGTGAGTTATGACTTCTCGGAGGTTGACACATTCATGGTAGCCGCCGTGTCCTTGCGGAGCTGCAATGCGGGACGCAGCAGCTGCTCCACACTGCAGCAGCGAGGACGACTCCGGTTCAGGCGAAGAGAGGAAGGCTGCTCGCAGGAAATAAAAACATGTAGGCTACAACATTTACAGGAACAAACAGGGGGGAGGACAGGGAAGGAGGAGGAGGAGGAAAGGGCTGAGTGGAAAATTCCGATCTGAGCCCTTGTTATCCATTCCACACACGCAGACATCTAATATATTCAGCAATCAATAGAGACGGGGGGGGCTGCGTGTGTCAACCTCTCTCTATCTGGGTCCAGATGAGCACCACACACAAACACAGGGTGACGTCACTGGACGTGCGTGACATTTCAATAAAACTCTTTCTTGTGCAAGAAAAAAAAATAGAGACGCGCAGTGGACTCTGAAAAGAAAATCGAGACAACTTGGAGTCGTTTCAGCACCCTGGACAGCTCCGAGCCACACAGCAGCAGAACGCTTCTTCATCTCAGCAGTATCTCATGAAGCAGTGGAGGGATTTTTTTTTAATGAAAGTCCCAGAAGGTGATTGCTGAATTTATATCCACAACTCCTTCACGTTCTGAGCCAATTACTTTCAAGATGGCCGCCACAGCTAAGCCTCTTTAGCCAACACAACAAATGAATATAAAACTCAACTGTTTTCACTGAGCTAGGCCTGTAGCTGAGGATCACAACCCTTCAAACACTAACAGAGATCTCACATAAAGGTTTAGATAAGGTTTGATCAAATCAGTCATGAGAAACCTTTTCTCCTCAGGAGATAATATAAACCCAAATTGGGACATTGTGTAAAACATAAATGAAATAAAAAGATGATTTGAAATCCCTTTTCATCTTTTATTCAATTGACTATGAAGATATTACACTGAGAGGAGTGGTGTTGAAAAGAGAAGTCATACTCTTAAATGACTTTACAGCAAACCGAGCTGGTTTATTGTTTTATTTTTTTCAGACCTCACAGCAGCTCTCAAAGTGGAAGCCCTTCCATCCATTTCACCACATCCAGCTGTCCACCTACACACTTTACACTGCAAAAATGCCCACCTAACCAAGTTTCAAAATCTTATATCCAGCCGAAAAGTCTTTTTGAATTTTTTTTGAGACTGATTTACTAAACAAGAAGTGATTGTGTAAGAATAATAATCTTGTTTTCAGAATGTGTAAGATTATTTGTCTTGTTAGTCTGAAAATC